AAGCTTTTCTTTTTTTAAACTTTTGACATTTCGCAAACTTTATACCAGTTACGCATGAAAGGGTTTCTGATAAAACATTTAAAATGACTTAACAATATATAAATGGCACTTGATTGTACATATTAAGACTAAATGATGTATGTAAATCCTTAATCTCCTCAGGAGATAGCGTGAGTCGTCTCCTAACCAGAAAAATAGCGGTTCGATTCCCGGCTTGTCCAGTCCACATGTCAAAGTATCCTTGAGCAAGACACGGAACCCCCAGTTGTGAATGGGTGAATGGCCAAATAGTGTGAAAGTACTTTGAACATGCTGCAATGCATAGAAAAGCGTTATATACAGTAAGTATAAGACCATTTGCCAAACATCTTTGATTGCAGCCTTTTTTTTAAATTATTGCCACACAAAATAACATATTAAAAAAACAGGGCAGAACATGGAAGACAAGACAACAGATATAGGACATTACAAAGAGACGAAGAAGGTTTTACATGATTGTTGTGTGTGTGAGGGTGTGAAATGTGGGTATTTTCAAGTTATACTGTCTATGAAGGAAGAATAAAACAACTAAAACAAAAACAACAAACAAAAGAATTTTTAAATAAAGGAAGGCAATTGAAGAAAAAATAGGGCATGAGGGGGTGGCGATGACAATTTAAAACAGCAAATAAGTAATAACGATGGGGAGTGTGTAGGTGATGTTTCCGCTCCGAATCACAGGCACTACAACAAGCTGAGGTCACCAATAGGGAGCCATAGAACTGCTCAGCAGGGAGAGGTTGGCCAGGACAGCAGGAGGGGATGAGGTGATATTCTAATACTGATGAACAGTAGAAAAACAGCAATGTTGTGTCCTATGTCATGATATTAATGACACTATCAACAGTAAATCTAATAATGGCCATAACAATGATAATGATACAAATAACAGAAGCCAACATAATGTAAGAAGCACAAAAGAAACGAGAAAAAAAGAAACAATAATAATAAAAGTGATAAATGCTGACAGCAATGATAGAATACAGTTTGTTATTATTTCTCTTACTATGAGAAGGTTAGTCCAGTGGTTTATGTCTAGAAACTTTTTAGTTCTGAAAGATTGTTTTCTCTGCAATAGTTAGAGAAATGAGGAGTGGGTTTTTATATTTAATTGGTAGATAGAGTCGGCTTCTGTGATATTACTGAGCAAGCAAAGTGATGGAGAAGCAGGGATTCTACAGTGCAAGACGGTTGTGAGGTTCTTTGTCGGATAGCAGCCTTCAGATTAAAATGTTATTTAAATCCTGTTCCCATCTAAATATTCAGACCTATATACTGTATTAATATGCATGTTAGGTTGCTGCATGTTCAAAAGAGGGCCTGATGATGATTTATATTGCCTGTAGCAACAGCAGCCATACTTGCTGAAATGCAGGTGACAAGTTAAAGAAAAAACCCAGATAAATTGTCTTCATAAGGTGACCACCAGAGCAGCTTCAGTGCACATAAACAGCCAAAAGACACAACATTTAAATGTATTCACAGATTCACTTCTCAGACATTAGAATTTTTGGGACAGTTACAGGCAGTTCATTATCCCACACAGCACTGTGGAAGTGTGTCCTCACTATCAGCATCAGCCTTGATTAATGTTTAGTGACAGAGACAGGAGTAATTAGCAGTGTATGTGTTTCAGTGTATCAATGAAGTGAATCAGGATGCAAACTGAGTTTGATAACTCTAAAGGAACCAGAGGTAACAGTATTACTACTGACCTTTAAAATGTAGAGTATAGGAGAGTTTTAGAAGGTCCAAAAGTTGCACTTATTAGGAGACACAAGAGGGATGTTTACTAAGGTTTTGCAGCTCATTCTCTAGCAATAAACACTGGAATTGCATGTGTTCATATTTGCCAAGGTGTCACAGTGGAGAGAGAAAAAGAACACAAGTGGCAATGTAGGAATTTGTGTATTTGGTCTCATCCATCCATCCATTTTCTTCTGCTTATCCGGAACCGGGTCACGGGGGCAGCAGTTTAAGCAGAGATGCCCAGGCTTCCCTCTCTCCAGACACTTCCTCCAGCTCCTCCGGGGAAATGCCGAGGCGTTCCCAGGCCAGCCGAGAGACATAGTCCCTCCAGC